CTAATGATTTTTGTTCTGTTAAATGAAGCAATGAAGAATTTGGTTTGTGTTTTGCATACAAATATTCATACCTATCACACGTTCTGCTCATCAAACAGTGAGCTGAGGCTGAGATGACAATTTGGGACAATTTGGGTCAAAACAAAGTGAGCTTGAAAAAGTTATCCATCACTCCATAATCAGCCCTTTGAATCAAAAAAGTATAAAACCCATAAGCTGCTGGGCTGTATACTGCCTAGTCGTTATTTCTTCCACTACCTCCACATCTTGTGGCCAAATTGTGAGGGAATTATAGAAGTCCATGCTGTCACTGCCCACATACAAAATACATTTTAAACAAACACTTGTTTAGTAGATACACCCCTAATGAATGAAAACTTGCATGCATTTAATTATGCATTTTTCATTGGAGTTATATCTAAAAACAGCTTGTAAAAACTTCAGATCTCGTCTGCTGCGTTTTCAAGCCCTTCTCTTCTAACCCCGCCCAGACTTTCTGTGGCTGTCCAATCACAACATTCCCAGTGCAGCTCAATGAGAAGTCTTTGCAAGGCAGGTGCTCTGGGCAATTGCTGCCTCTTGAGTTCAGTGCAAATAAGCTAGCAAAAAAAGTTACTGCTTAAAAAACTGGGGGGAGGAGGGTGCCAATTTCTATTGAAAGCTGCACTTTTTCGAAAATGAAAAAAAATAGTGCACACTCTTCACACATAAAGCTTTTCAGTGTCCCTTTAAACTGAATGAGCAGAGGTCTTATCAGCAGTCAGTATGGACCTCCAACACCTGCATATCACAAGCTGCAGCAGTAAATAGAGAATTAAACTGCAGCCAGCAAAAAAAAAACACTATGAACTTATGGGGGTAGTTTGCCAAGCCAGACTGGGTGGCAAAACATGACCCTTTTTATTTTCTTTCCTAGTTATGTCCTGGTCTTAGTTCTGGTGAGAACTTTCAGTTTTAACTATCCATCCATATACAGTATCTCTGTGTTCTGAAATCAAAAATTTAATTTGATTTCAGCAATAGTTTTGATGATTTTGCACCAAAAGCCTGATGAGCGTGTAATGAAGCATAACGAGAGTCAGTTGGCACTGTATGCTTTACTCATTAAGTGCTGCAGTGGTTGACACATGAATAGACACCAGAAGAGGGCATGTTCTCAAGTTATCTGGTGTATTAAGGAACAACCTTATAAAGCATTTTTCTCTTTTACCCCTTCCTTATGTCTCTATTGGATACAGCATTAAGATTTATAGATCAGTTGGACTTGGAAGCTTAACTTTAAAGGACCACTCTAGGCACCCAGACCACTTCAGCTTAATGAAGTGGTCTGGGTGCCAGGTCGAGCTAGGGTTAACCCATTTTTTTATAAACATAGCAGTTTCAGAGAATGGGTTAATCCAGCCCTCAAATCCTCTAGTGGCTGTCTCATTGACAGCCGCTAGAGGCGCTTGCGTGATTCTCACTGTGAAACTCACAGTGAGAACATGCAAGCGTCCATAGGAAAGCATTGTAAATGCTTGCCGCGCGTGCGCATTCAGCCGAAAGGGAGGAGAGGAGGAGGATCGGAGGTGGAGAGCTCCCCGCCCAGCGCTGGAGAAAGGTAAGTTTTAACCCCTTTCCTCTCCCCAGAGCCCGGTGGGAGTGGGACCCTGAGGGTGGGGGCACCCTCAGGGCACTATAGTGCCAGGAAAACACTATAGTGGTCCTTTAAGGAAGACAGACTCTATTTAGGATTTTGTAGCTTGAGAAGGAGAGAGGTGGATTTATTTGATGTTATCTCAGATTCTTGTAGCCCTCTGTTTCCATTTAGTTTTGATGTCGGGCATCTTTTTTCTTTTCTGCCAATTCTCCTTTCAAAAAATTGGGACCTTTGAAGCTGCACTTTTAGTACACTAGTCTCAATTATCTTTATTTATTAATTTTTTTTGGTCTGAAGCATTACAGAGAAAACTATACAAATATTCTTAGCTGGGATAGTGTAATGTGTTTTTTTTCTTTTTAAATAATTTCTGTATATGGAGTTGTGTGAAATGGGTTTTACAGATACATTTTAGATCACAAAAAAAATTACGTTTTATGAGACATGGTGGGCTAAAATTCGTTTTGTGATTTCACTTATTCAAATTTCCCACTCTGTTTTATTTTTTTTTATTTTGGTTCATAATGAAATTCAAAGAGTTAAAAGGCTTATATTTCAAATGATCCATTTCAGGTGCCTGGCATTCTCTGTGGCTCTATAAGGGTAAAGTAGTTCAAATGACTGTGTAGAATCAAAAACATTAAAGTGAATAACATCAAGAATCCTGTTCAAATAAAAAACACAAAATAAAATATATAATATGTAGCTGCTCAGCGGTAATGGTATAAACCCAGTCTAATCTAAGAAAGCATTTAGTGTATCTCCAGATGTTAGTTATTTAGTGTTTGTTTGCCACAGAGTTCATATAGAGGTCAGTATGTATTATGAGGCAAATATTGTACTCGGTTTGCAAAAAGCATGAAAATCACTTAATTGCAGGGCTTAATATATTATGCATTATTGAAGGGGTTTAAAAATAGTAGGACAATTTTAGAAAGCAGTGGATAAATGCAGCCTTAAAATAAATCCTCCACACCTCAGCTGGGCTGCAAAGTAGAAACAACTAAATAAATAATAATAAGCTCATGTTTCACATCTACTAGTAAGCTGCTACAGATGTAAAAAGAGATAGTGTCCCATAATACATAGGCTGCTACAGACTAATAACACAGACTATGGAACTCAAGCAGTTCAACAGCTCAGAAGCTGGATGATTATAAAGCAAGCCGTCCACAGAAAGGGCAACGTTTAAGGTGCCAATGATTAACTGCAATAAATGCTTGGTTTATAGGTGACATTGGATTGGCCAGCTCAAGTACTCAGGTTTCTTTTCTCACCAAAAGATCACCAGAGAAGTTCTCCTTGTGTTGGAAATGTAAGTTGGTGAGAAAGAGCCTTCTTATCAAGCACAATATGTCAATCACTAATCAGAGATTAAAGGAGAATATCTAAACCGCTTAGCACAAGCTAAAACCTCACAAATTTTTAAAAGAACAGTTTAAGCACCGTAACCACTACAGTGTGCAAAATATTTTAGAACATGTTCACATCTTACCTGTGGTTCCCTGGGTTGTCACATCCTGCCTCCACTACAGTTTTAAGAGAGTCAGAAGACCAGTGGTGCAGGGCTTAGATCTGGAGAGCTAACAGGAGCTACTAAGCAGGAACTTTCGGAGCTTCCTGGCTGCTTAGAGGACACAGGGGCTGTGCCCAGGTAAGAAATTAAACATTTCTAAAATATAATGCAATAAAAGACTTACAAACCACAAATACAATAGCAATCATTGATCAGTGTGCAGCGCCCCTAGATGTAAAGCTCATAATAGTTATACTTACCTAAAGTCCTCTGTCATAAGCGCAACCATGTCTTTTAACTCCTAGTGATATATCCACCAGCCTATTGGTCAACTCTCACACATGTAAAAGACCACAGGATCCAATTTGACAATGCCCAAGAAGATTCATATTACCCATAGTCATCACTAGTGATGTCGCGAACCGTTCGCGAACTTGCCGCGAACGGTTCGCCACGAACCGTTCGTGGCGAACTCCGGTCAGCTGATACATCCCTGCCAATCTCCGGCAGACCCTCCCTCCCAGATCCTCCCACCTCCTGGACAGCATCCATGTTGAAGCTGCCTTCAACATGGATGCTGTCCAGGAAGTAGGAGGGTCTGGGAGGGAGGGTCTGCCGGAGATTGGCAGGGATGTGTCAGCTGACCAGAGTTCGCCACGAACCGTGGCGAACCGTTCGCGACAAGTTCGCGAGCGGTTCGCGACATCACTAGTCATCACTAGTATACAAATGCATTAGTGGAGAAAGGGGGTAATACTGCAGATTGGAATGGAGGTGCAGATTGGATTTATGGAGCAATAATAAAATCATTATATGTTAGACTTTTTTGAACCAAGTAAATTTAAACATAAAACTATGAAACCTAACGTAACTGAGATCTAATAAACAAATTGTACCTAAATTGCATGTACCCATTTAAGATATATAATACCCAAGATATCAATCATACGAGTGCTGTAAAACATCATCGGAGTCACTTTCAGAGTCTAAAAAAATAAAACTTAATGAATGTACTGCATCTGTCAATTCTAAAGTATTATGATAAATATGCATTTGTTCTTGATTGTTAAGACATTGAAATGAAATATCTTCATGAACTGGAGTGTATAAGTAATAGCACACATGAAATAGCAATTTCAAGAAAACACTCATTGTATCGGCTTCACAGATTTTATGCATTTCTATAAGAATGTTGTTTCTCATATGCTGGAGATGAATTAATTTATACAGAGTTGTAATATCTAACGATTGTGATCCAATTAGCTTATGTAAATAAATCATCAACAATAAAGGAAAAAGACGTATAAAATCTAACTAGTTTACTTATTTTTCTACAGAATATCTGCGCTGAATCAGGGAAATAAATAATGTACATTTATTTTTTTATGTTTTTTTTCCTGAAAAGGTCACTCATGGCACCAACACACTATGCATGATCGTGGAGCCAGGTTAAAGACACCCTCTAAGCAAGAAAGCAACTTCAGCTTAATGAAGTGGTTTTGGTGTATAGTCCTAAATGCCAACCCTAGTCCACTACTCATCACATTCGATGGGCGATTGACATCGGGCAAAGAGGATTGGGCTGAAGAAAGCACTTGGATTTGTTGATGGAATGAAGGTGAGGTTTGGTATTTATTTTTTATTTTATTATATGAGGGGGGGTTAGGGGAGACCACCTCAGAAAAAAGTTTACTATAACAAAAACAATATTTTATGAATGCACTTAGTTTTTATTGGAGCAACTGTTTAATATCTGCCAGCATGGAACATGCACCAGTTTGGGCCAATCTCCTCTCCTGAATATCCCCTTATTGGGCTTTGAAAGTTCTGGTTTCTGAGCTATATCTTATACTCTATGCACCTTAAGGAGAGTTTTATCAGAAATGCATCTGTGCCACCAATCTCCACCTACCAATTGCTCAGTTTCTGGCGACAAGTGCAAGTTTGTTCTAAATAAAAGAGTCAACTTAAAATTTAAGCTTAAATTTAGCTTGAACTGAACTAGACAATGCCAGACAGTTCCAATAGGCGAATTTACAATTTCTTTTATGTAGATATCCAAAATATTTTTGTTTCAAAATTACGATATCATGAGACCCATATATTAAGTGTTATGGCTTGTAATTCACTCAATTGCTCTAAAAGTTCAGGTTTGCTTTACAAGTTAATACATCTTACCTTTTCATTGAAGCTGATATGTTTTTAATAAGAAAGTCTTGAATTGAGGAACAGTGAAAGCCATTAAATAATACATTAGAATGCAAAAGGCACAAGGTAGAGTTTTAAAGAGGTAAGACTGCTTGAAAAAAATATATATTCATTTTCTGAAAGTACATTTAATTAAACAAACATAATAGGTAACATACAGATCTACTTTTACCCTTACCAGCACAAAATACTAGAAATACGTTAAAAAATGTTTACAGTGATCATCGGGTGTGTTCTTATTGTCTCTTGAGTTCACGTCGGGAAGCTTTTTCGAACATCAGAATCGTACTGGGCTTTTTAGAAATAGTTAACAATATCCAGAATCATTACAATGCATACAGTGTAACAAATTTATTTTCCTGTTCACTCATTGTGGACAACATGAATAGATTAGGATACAAGGAGCACAGTTAGGTCTCTGGAAGAGGTTGAAGGACTGTAAGAAGAATGAATGTATTGAAATATAAAACTTGCATGTCTAACAAGTAGCTTAGAAGTGATCTGTGGCATACAGCATCCTGATTTCTTGGTAATCATTCTGTGTAATACCAAGCCTTGGCACACTCATTGCATTCCAAATATCATTGGAGATTACATTTACTGCATATGTGCTTGGCGTACAGCTAAACATTGAGGTCTCTTGCATGCCCTTTTATTTTGCACTTTGTCTTTATTGTACTCGGGAGGTTTAAATCAACAAATAAAATGGAAATAACTAAACTCTAAATATAGCAATAACTGATCTTAAAAATTCTCCAAAAGAAATGCAGTGCTTTAACTTTATGGTAATCATCAAACTCTACCACCGGAGAACTGGCACCCTTCCTTGGGTCACCTCTAATGTTAAAATTATAATGTTGATCTCTTAAGGCAAAACATAATAGTGCATCGTGTACAGATTCTGCATAACAGAGTTTATAGAAATTGCTCTGATATTTCAATTGCTGACATCATTGCAAACCTTTAACCTTATCTTGCTACCAGAGGAAGAAAATATATGTATCGCCATGTAATTTATCATGAAATGCAATGAAGATTGACTTACCTCGAATGTATGGATTTAAACGTTTGATTTAGTTAATGCACGCTATGAAAAATGGATCAGCATATTCATTAACATGTAAATGTAGTTTGTAATTTTCTCATTCTGAGTAGGTGCTAATTGACATGTTTAGCTATTTTTTAAATGTTGTGCATAAAGGATGACATTTAAAATGTTATTATATTTAAAATACACATACACATATGTTTTCCTGGTCAATTTTTCTAAAAGTTTATGTGATTTGATTTCAGTATAATATTTGGAATCTCTGGTTGGAATCAGTGGTTTCAAAATTTTTGATGCATTGGTGATTATTTTCTAAGGCACACCTATTTGTTTCTTAGCCTTCATTGGCAGCTTATAACCATCACATTTTGTTGAAGCCTTACCTTAGAGATACATATCTGTCTGTAAACGGATTTGATCATTCTAGTTGTTTGTCAGATGGGAATCACAGTTTGTAATGCTGACATTTATATAAAAGAACATACTTAAATAGGGACTCTTATTTCTTTGGAATGCATGCCATTGAATACATAACTGACATTCAACTATAGTTTGCATTGACCATTTTTCATTAGATGCTCAATTTTCTAATAAATATATATTAAAGATTTAGCAAATTACATCTTAATCGTAATACAGGCAAATACTGCAAATGAGGAGGATAAATAGAAACAATATTTAATTTCTCCACTACTCTCTATGCAAGGACTATGCTGTTTACCAGGTGCAAAAGGGGGAGTTTGCAACAATGATTGACATGGATCGGAGAATGTAACCTTACGGAAGAAAAATGTTGTCAATGAACTTTTTAAGTACATGTCTAATCCATGAATATAAGTTGCAATGTTGAATTGCTTAAAAAATTTGTAAACACTTCTAAAATATATATTTTTTTCAGCATGCATTTCATGTGGAACTAGATTACATTTCAACTCACAAGAAAAAAAAAAATCTTTTATTTGATTAAATGCTGTTTTTTCTTTTTTTTGTTTTTATGGATTATTCAACCGTGAACTGTTATTCTATACAGGTAAACAGGTCCTATTCATTATTATTCTTGTAGTCCTGCTTACCTCATCATAATTCCTAAAGTTGCATACTTCAATATCTTAGCAGTGGGGTGCCTGTTCGATTTATCTTTCAAAAAGGCTGCAAGAATTCTAAGGCAAGCCAATTTACTTAACCCTTAGCTCTATCTTCAGGCAGTTAAAAATAAAAATGTGTCGGCTACAATTCAGCAATGCTCCACAATCAAGAAACCTGATCGGAAATGATTTTTTTCGGAAAAAATAAATAAATATATTGCATCTGACTCAGATCTGAGAGAGACTGTGATAATTCTCTTAGATATAATAAATGAATGACGATTTTGCTTCCGCGACATGCAGTACATATTTATTTCCTTAAAGACCTTGACTGTGTAACACTGGGAAATACATTACAAGCATGTACACCAATTTCTTAGCTTAATGAGCCTAAGAGTACCTCATGAGCAGAAATGAAAGGCAAGAAATAAATGTATTAATGTGTGAATTGACATCTACTCACCCAAAACACTTTGTGCTCACAGTGATGTTCAAAATCACCTGCTATATGGTGAATTGCTTTTTGCGTCGCACATGACTGAATGTTGGCAGTACTGTATTTCATTTTACAAATGAAAACGAATGCACAAGGAAAGGAACGGTTGCAGGCAGATGCTGGTTTTATCTATGGACAACTGTTTCATATTGTATTGCAGAAAACACACTGGAATTGACTTGTTTATGAAAACAACTTTATGCAAGAAGGGTGTTTCTACGAGTGTCACGTAAATGTGTATTTTGTAATGAATCATGTCCAAAAGCCAATTGGTATTCCTGTTGGAACCTGGAGGATTACTGTGGAATTAATCAGTTAATACTATGTGGGAAGTTGACAACCAGTGAAATTCGAGAAAATCCTTTCAATGATTTTTTGATTACAAGGTCAAAGAAAAACGAGACCAAACTAATAACTTTGACAAATTTGTGAATACACTGCACAATGTGTTACAACATGGGTATTTTAGAATTCTAGATGTGAAATGCAAATAAATAATTATTCTTAAGTAAAACCAAAGACAATTGAATACAAATTACACACATATTCATACGAATATTTATATTAAAATCTGATTGTGAATCTCAATATTATACTCATGAAATATGGTTTAGCCATACATAAATGCTTGGTAATTGTCATAAGCATTTACAAATGGATAAGCAGGATCCTGTTCTAATTAGTGTCTGTAAGCAGGGCCAGTTTAAGGATTTTTGGGTACACAGGTGAAGATGATTTTAGCACCCCCCCCACAAAAAAAAAAAAAATAATTTTCACCTGTGTGCCTCTTAAACCGCCTTTTGTTTTTTATCCCCTTTAGTAATTGTCTTACCCCCTTTATTGTATCTTCATGCTCAATGAGCTCAGTCAAGGAGGTGGGACCAACCACAAGGATAGCGATGCAGCATGGAAAACAAGGTAAGTTAAAGCTTGAGGACCACGGTACTACAGCGTTAGGAATACACATTTTTATTACTAACACTATAGTGTTCCTTTAATGTGTTTGTATTTGCTTTTGTATGACACAGTCAAGCTACAGTGCTGCTTTTAAGGATTACTAGTTAAGGATTAGTAAGAGATTATGTCTTTTGGCTGAAAGTAACAAGGTGAATTGTTAGTGGGGGACTCACCTGAGAGGTTTACCTCACTTTAATGGCCATTTTTTAAAGTGTGAACGCAATGGATTTTAGTGTCTCTTTAACCTAGATAGCTATCACTATCTGATTATAATATATATACACATTGAACAAAATTATAAACACAACACTTTTGTTTTTGCCCCCGTTTTTCATGTGCTGAACTCAAAGATCTAAGACTTTTTCTATATACACAAAAAGCCCATTTGTCTCAAATATTGTTCCCAAATCTGTCTAAATCTGTGTTGGTGATCACTTCTCCTTTGCCGAGATAATCCATCCACCTCACAGGTGTGGTATTTCAAGTTGCTGATTAGACAGCATGATTATTGCACAGGTGTGCCTTAGGCTGGCCACAATAAAAGGCCACTCTAAAATGTGCAGTTTTATCACACAGCACAATGCCACATATGTTGCAAGTTTTGAGGGAGCGTGCAATTGGTATATTATATATATATATATATATATATATATATATATATATATATATATATATATATATATAGATAGATGTATGTAAATGTTTATGATATCTGGGAGCCAACTCTAGGAATATTTTTTTTTAGTGTACCTGGCAGCTTAAGCTTAACTATAAATGCATGAAGAGGTTTCTTTATTTTGTTAGAAGAGTTACAGTAAGCCCCTTTTTAATTGACATTTCAAGCTTAATAGTCATCAAAGAAAATTGATGCAGGCACAAGTTATTGTATTTTATTGAGAATTTATTTTTGCTTCATCAGGGTATTTTGACAGTAAAATGATGTTTAATAGACAATGTATGACTACTTCTATTGTTAAAGAAGGCTTCTTAGAACTGTTCAACAGCAAACATTAATCAATATATATCGTAGATATTTTCCAAGAAATTAAAAAAGCCAATTTTAAGTATAAACCCCCACACCTAGCATGACCAAGTGTGGGGTCTACCTTAACATATACAAATAACAATTAGACAGGAGGGCACTCTAATAGAGTAAATTGGAATGCAATGTACACTAAGCAGGTACAACATTAAATCCACCTGCCTAAAAAAAGTCAGTGCCTCTCGTGCTGCCAAAATGGTTATGATGCAGCAAGGCATTAAATCGACAAGACCTCTGAACTTGTCCTGTGGCAACTGGC